ATATATACACTTTTATCATCACGATTACAATTAATTCAAACTTACAACCCCACGATCGAGAGTTGCATGCTCTGCTGACTGCTCAGCCCGCTGTCCCTAGGAAGTTTACGAATTTTGAAAGGTACTTGCTGCAGAGGGATGACACAAACAGGGAAAGAAAGAGAGAAGGAGAAAAAGGAGGGAAAGGGAGGATGGAAGGAAAGAAAAGGAAAATGAAGAGAAGGGAAGGGGGAGAGAGAAGGGGGAGAGGGAGGGAGAGAGGAAGAGGGAGGGGGAGGAAGGGAGGGGGAGGACGGAGAGAGGGAGGGAGGGAGAGCAGGAGAGGCAGGAGGGAGGGAGAGAAATAAGGGGGGGACGGGAGAGAGGGAGGGGGGCGGGGAGAGCCAGCCGCGCACTCCAGGGACCACCTACTGGAAGGGGCTGGCATTGCAGATGGTGACGGCGGGGAAGTCCATGGTCTTGAAGCCGATGGAGAGGGACACGCTGACCTCCCAGCTCAGGTAGGTCCTGATGAAGACGCCCCACTGCCAGCAGACCAGGGAGGTGAAGAGCAGCGTGATCAGGAACCACATGGCCTTTTTCTTGGGCCCCTCGCAGATGATGCGCTTGGGGCCGTGGGTGTTGGTGTTGTTGCAGTACCACACCAGCAGCTCCTTGTACGTGTAGCCCGGGCCCTTCTGCAGCCGGTGCAGGCACTTCCGCAGGTACTTCTTCAGGTGCATCGCGGCGCCTGCGCAGACACCCCGACACCCCGCAACCAGATCCAGCTCGCGGCCCGCGGCCCAGGCGGCCCCGTCGTCCCCGTCCTGGGGCACCGGACACAGGCAGTCGGCGCCGCCTATCCCGCCCTCCCTACCCTGCTTGCTCTCTGCTCCTTTCCCTCCTTCCCTTCCCCTCCCCCTCCCCTCCCTCCCCCCTTCCCTTTCTCTGCCCCTCCCCCCTTCTCTCCCAACCCTCTTCCCCATCCCTCTCTCCCCTCCTTCCCTCCCTCTCCCTCCCCTTCCTTCCGTGCCCCTCCCCCCTCCTCCTTTTCCCTCCCTTCCCCCTTCCCAATCCCTTCCTCCTCTTTCCCTCCCTCTTTCCCCTTCCCTCCCTCCCCTCCTTCCCTCCCTCTCCCCCTTCTCTCCCTCCCTTCCCTTCCTGCCATCTATCCTCCAGGCATCCAACCAACCAAAAAGCATTTATTGAATGCCTACTGTATGCCAGGCACTGAATTAGTCCCTCTGGACTCAATGATGGGCAAAACAAACAAGGTTTCTAACCTCTGGGAATTTTTAGCCTAGTGGACAAGTTACTTAAACTCTAAACTCCTTAGGTACTCCATCTGTAAAACGGGGATAATTGTACCTCATTTACAGAATTGCTGAGAGGGTGAAACTAGGTGATGCACAAAACGTACTAAATACAGTGCCTAGCTCAGACTAAGTGCCCAATATGTCGGCTACTTTTATTTATGTTTTATTTTATTACTTTTATTTATTTACTTTATTTTTAATTAATTTATTTTTTAGAGAGAGAGAGAGAGCTTGGGTGAGTGGGGGCGGGAGGGGCAGAGGGAGAGGAAGAATCTCAAGCAGGTTTCACACCCAGTACGGAGCCCAGTACGTGAAGCTCGATCTCACAACCCTGAGATCATGACCGGAGCCGAAATCGGGAGTCCAAAACTTAATTGACGGAGCCACCCAGGCGCCCCATCAGCTACCTTCATTACAAGCTATTGGCGGGCGAGCCGGATGTTCTTCAAATAGTCCACCCAAAATGCGTAGTTACAAAACATGGTAGGAAGGGGTGGGACCCTGTGCTCTGAGGTCTCAGAGGCAGTAAAGGGTGGTGGTGAAGAGCCAGGACTCTGGAGCTGAAATGTCTGCTTTGAATCTCAGCCCCACCACTTTCTAGCTGTGTGACTTGGAGCCAATCACTTTCCCCGTGCCCCGGTGTCCTTGTCTGTAATGGGGATAATAATGCATCTTCCTCAGAGGTTGTTGTGAAGGCCGAATGAAAATACGTAGCGTGTGGATGAATGCCTGGCACCCCCCCACCCCCACCCCAGTTCTGAGAATCCCCGGAGAAGCTGAGTTAAAGAACACAGAGTTAACTAGGGGAAGAGGAGTGGAGGGGCGCACTCACGTGGAGGAGACGGCAGGAGCAGAGTCTCTGAGCGGGAGGAGGGAGTCTGGAGAGGTGAGCAGGACCTGGTGGGTTAGGATTTGGAGGCGTGGAGGCATGATGCCATCCAGTCCACCATCTGGAAAGACACGGGCTGGAATGGGGTGAGGGTGGGTGTCCAGACACATCAGGGGCTAGCTGTGGGTTGTCGAGGAATGTCTAATCCTTCTTTCTGAGACTCTGTTCCTCACCTGCATGAGGGGACAGGGTTCTTGTGAAGAGGAACCCAAAGACGTGTCACAGAGCCTGGCCCATGATGGCTTCTCAGGCAGTACCTGTTTCCTCCCTCCTCCTGAGACAGAGAAGGAACCTGCTGCTGGAGCACCCCAGCTCTATCCTGGGAGACCGGGCCGGCCAAAGGCCACCTCCTTCTTGCAGCTGTCCTGACTCCCTGGCTGGAAGGACCCTCACCCTCCTCTCAGAGCTGCTCCCTTTCGGGGAGCACTGTGGTGGGCAGTGCAGGGCCTGCTGGGCCAGCATTCTTCACCCCCTCTCCCCTCTGGCTCTGTGTGTCCTCAGGGAAACTGCCCCTCCCCCAGTCTCAGCTGGTGTGAGCTGCCAGGTTGGCTCTGCCCCTAGTCTGAGGGGTGCTCACATTAACCCCCGTGTGGATTGTTGAGACTCAATTCTATGACTTTGTGCTGGTCTAACTGAGGCAGAGACTCCTTTTTTAACAAAGACTACTAAGCCGGTGGTATTTGGTGCCACAAATAGGGAGACTGCCTGAGAATTAAAGCCAACACAGAGGAAGGCAGGGCCACAAGATGGAGAGAGTGATTTCGGACAACATTTGAACACCTGGATCCAGCACGCCTGAAGCCATTTATTCTTGGACTCAGCAGATACAAGAACCAATACACTTTCTTTCTTACTTATGCTGATGCGAATTGGGTATCTGTCATTTGCAGCCATTAGAATCTTAAAAAGAAAGAAATTCACCTCATTCTACCCCGTGTCATACCCACTTCTGCCTATGGCCTCTCATTCCGATGAGATCATAAGCCCTCTGAGAGCAGCAGCTCTGTATTCCTGACAAGCCCAGCACGGTGCCTGGGACGCCACAGAATAGCTAAATGGATAATGCCAGACTTCATATCTAAGCAGAGATCTTAAACTTGCTCAAGCATGTTCACTGCTGGCCTAATTTTCTGACATGGTAATATCCCCCACCGTCCTGGCCAAAGCATTAAAGGCTTTCGCCCCCAATGCCTCTGCTCGCTGATGGAAATCAAGCGCCCTGTGCCTGCTCAGGCCATCATGGCTCTAAGATGGACGCTCACAGATTAACCCAACTCCCATCTTTCCCTAGACAGCCTATTCCCTGCTCTGGGAAAATAAAGTTACAGTGATCATAGTAATAACAGCTCCAAGGGCACCATCAAAGCACTACGTGTTTACCATGATTGGGGCACTGCAAGGTGGTGCGTGTGTTATTTCATTCTTAGACATTATTATCCACTACTATAAACTTGGGAAGAACTGGGGCTCTGTCTGACTTTATAGTCTAGCACCCCAAGGCCTAATAGGTGAGAAGCACATGAGGCTCCAATAAACTGCCATGGAAGAACCAGACAAAGGGCCTCTCTGATGTCTCCCTTTTGCCATTCTCATTTAATCATTCTGGTTCAGCCAAGGAGAAAGTCGGCTTGGTACAGACAGGTCCTGAGCATCTATTTAACCCCTGCTTATCTCCCAGATTAACCATGAGGACTCAGGCTCAGAACTTTACCAGGCAACAGTATCTAGTTGGAATTCACATCATTCTGTTTTCACTGGGTTTCTTTTTTTGTAAAGATTTTATTTATTTATTTGAGAGGAGAGCAAGCGAGCATGAGTGGGCGGAGGGAGGGGCAGAGGGAGAAGCAGACTCCCCGCTGAGCAGGGAGCCCGATGTGGGACTTGATCCCAGGACCCCGGGGATCATTACCCGAGCCGAGGGCAGGTGTTTAACCCACTGAGCCACCCAGTCACCCTCACTGGGTTTCTTTTTAAGAGGGATCTCCTATTCATGGCAAGGGATACTGGCCTTTGCTTTCCGTTCACAAATACACTTAAGTAAAAAAAAAAAGGGAAATGTGCTTAAAGAAAAATATCCAGTGAACAAGTCTGCCATGCAGCAAACACCGTGACAGACATAGATGAATAAGAGAAGTTGGTGGAGTACCGGCTTATCTCCTACCTCGTTCGGTCCCTTGAGCCATTAACCAAGTACAAATCAATCAGTGCTACAAACAACTTTATGTTGTTCCCATCAGATTTCACCGCCCAGGTGATGGATGGTCTGTTTGGAATGTATACCCAGCTTGTGTAGAAAGGTTTAACTCTGCTTAAGGCTTAAACCAACTCAAACAAGCCAAGGGGAGACTGGGTCCCCTCATGGACTCGGGAACATTGGTCACGCTTCGGAGAGTCCCCGACTGCATCAACACCTTGGCCCGCCCTGGTGGTAAACGTTCCTGGCCTCAAATACAACAGTGAAGGTTGTGTACAGCTGTTTCTGCTTTCTTATAAGAGGAAACACACACTTGCTTTCAGAGACAAGCTTGTCCTGAGATTTGACTCAGTCTCTTGGTGGGAGGACAACTGGGAGCACAGGTGCGTGTCTTCACCTATGATCTTGACGAGGGGGCACGTAAATGCTCTTCCTATGGTCCGTTCTTCCAAACCTTCTGAATGACAGGTGGCAACTCATGCCCTAGGATCTGCCTTGGGTTTGCAAAAATGGTTTTGTTGTGGGCACAGTATTCATTTTTAGAATTCTCATTTAAAAATAACAGCTTTATGGAGCTATAATTCATGTACCAGATAACTCATGCATTTAAAGCGTAGAATTCGGTGGATTTTAGTATATTCGCAGAATTACTCCACCATCCCAATAAATTTTAAAGCATTTTCGTCTCCCCCCAGAGAAACTCTGTATCCATTAGGGTCACTCCTCATTTCTCCCTCCACCGTTCCCAGCCCCAGGATCTGTCTCTATAGATTTGCCTCTTCTGGACCTTTCATATAAATGGAACCATACCTAATGCGTTTTTTTGGTGACTGGTCTTTTTCACTTAGCATTATGTCTTTCTTAAAAGACATCCAGGTTCATCCATCTTGGAGCATGGATCAGTACTTCATTTCTTTTTATTGTCAAATAATGTTCCATATTATGGGATATATCACATTTTATTTATCCATTCATCAGTTGATGGACATTGGTATTGCTTTAACTTTTTGGCTAGTTTGAATAGTACTGCTATAAACAATCCCATGCAAGTCTTTGTGTGGACATACATTTTCATTTCTCTTGGGTACATACCTAGGAGTGGATATACCCACTGAATCGTATGGTAATTCTATGTTTAACCTTTTGAAGAACTGACAGACTGTTTTCCAAAGTGGCTACCCTATTTTCAAAATCCACTAGCAGTGTATGAGGATTCCAGTTCCTCTTCCAATGCTTATTATCATTCAATTAAAAAAATTATTATTGCCTTACTAGTGGGGGTAAAGGGGCATCTTATTCTGGTTTTATTTGCATTTTCCTGACAGCTAATGATGTTGCCTATCTTTTCCCT